GGCAGCATGCCGGCATAAATAGGAAAAATGCCAAACCTGCAATTCAAATCCAATTTCAATATATATTCTCCAGAATCCATCAAAATCAGTTTCTAATCAATTAAACAAGTCCAATAACTAAAAATCCCCAAATTTCATTCAATTCCAACAATAACTGTTCAAACTCGAACCCTAACTCAAAATTATTCAAATCTAACCAAAAATAAACTTTCTCAAACTTAAAATCCGAATCAAAGAGTGGGTTTCAAAGGGTTTTACCTCAAATCAGTTGCTCGAGCTTCGTCTCCCTCAATTTTTCTGTTTTTCATTTTTTTTTCTGAGATTTTCGGCCAAACTGCCGAGAGAGAGAGAGAGGGAGAGAGAAACCCGGAAAGAGAGAGCAAGGGAGAGAGAGGATGCCAGCGGGAGGAAGCCCGGGCGGTGGAAGAAAATGGAGAAGGAAAGAGAGAGAGAGAGGGGCTGTGCGTGAAGAACCAGAGAAGAAGAAGAAGAAAGAAAAGAAAAAAAAAAGAAAAAAAGGGGGGGCTGGAGCACGGGAAGGGAAAGGGGGAAAAGAAAAAAGAAAAGAAAAAAAAAAGAAAAAGAAAAAGAAAAGAAAAGAAAAGGAAAAAGAAAAATGGAAAAAAAAGGGAAAATGTATTAAATTTAAGTGTGTTTTCCAAAAATCTTTGGGGTGTAATTATAAATATTGAAAATGACTTAAAGTCCCTTAATTAATTATGAAAATCAAATTAGGCACACTAATAATCCACAGTTTAGCATAATTAAACATGTTTAATTCTAAAGGGCGTTACATGACAATATCGAAATTCCTTGAAAATATTTAAATTTACATATTAGAACATTTAATAAATAATAATTAATTAATTAAACCGGATTAGACACACTAATAAATCTCAATTATCTTAACTAATCCTGTTTAATTCCTCGAGGCGTTACAAGATCAATCCTCTATAAATAATTCATAATTAGAGTTAGGTGAAATCCGTTAACCTCTCTAATTACATATTTATTCTTGAATACCATTAATTCTCTAATGGACAGTGATTCATAAAACACATTCATGAATCAGAGCTCCTACTGGTCCACGTACCGAATCAACCCTCAAGAGGATTATTTATCTACTTCTTTCTCAAGAAGGAATGGATTTCATCTCGTTTAATAACATTTCCGGCTACCTACTTCATCATGTCTCTAAAATACAAGGAATAGGATTCAGGATCTTATAATCTGTACCGAGTAAATCAAAAAACACAAATTCATAAATTGGAGTCTGCTAAGAACTCATGATGACTTTTGATTACATTCAGCACTATGTTGGACTTTTTAGTTATGTTCGTATATTTTTTTGATTTAATAAAGTTTACTTGTTTCACATTACTGTGCAACCGAACATTTTGCTGCGTTAAGTGGTATTAGAGAAGGTCTCTCCTTCATTCTATAGTTGCTGGGACTAAAAGAATCCTCCTCTGTTGAGGCTCCAGACTATTGAAACCGCTGCTCGGTCTGTGGAACAGCGTTGTGGTAGTTTATCCGCCAAATTAGATGGCTTTGAGCATTGCTTCAAGCTATTCAAAATTCTTTAGCCAATTTGACTACCATGAGTGATACCAATATGGCTAATCAGCGACCACAAATCCCCAATCAAGAAGCTGCAAGAGAGCAACCTGTTGCAAGGCAGCCCAGTGGTGAACGCGATCCTTAATGCCATTTTACATTTCGTTCCAAATGCACTATAAACAACAAAGTTTGCAATGTCATCATAGATAGTGGGAGTAGCGAAAATATAGTTTCGAAAGCTTTAGTTAAAACTTTAAACCTAAAAGTTGATCCATATCCCACACCATATAAAAATAGCATCACTCGAATATGTAAAGTTCCACTTCAAGAAAAAAAAAAAAAAAAAAAAAAAAAAAAAGGGGGGGGAAAAAAAAAAAAAGGGATAATACATATATAGAAAAGAAAGGGCAGGGATAATACATTTAATCAATAATATGTAAATTATTTTTCAATGGAATGATAGAAAGATTGTGTTAGTTCCTCAAGGGAAAAAGATGAGAGAAAAGAAAACTTTTCCACACTGAGGATAGATTTTTATCACCCCTTTCCAATTCAGATTTTTACAGGCAAGTAGTAGAACCTTCAACCGTGTCAGCACTCACAGTCAACGGACAAGGAGAAGTTGCAGAACCTAATTTGAACATTCCCAGCCAATTACAACCACTACTCCAAGAATTTCAAAATCAGAAAGATCAATGATAATGCTTACGAAAGATCAACGATAATGCTTATGTTGTGGGTTTAACTCCAGACGTGGGAATTTCGTCAACTTTCAATGTTTCTGACCTCTACGAACACTATCCCCCTGCTGGCGAATTGTAACTTTCTGCCTAAACTTGAGGACGGATTTTTTTTTTATTGAGGCAGGGTGGATTAAGTAAAAGAATGTTACGGGAGTTTTATGTGATGACAAGATGCCTATTAAATTTAAAATAAAATTCTATAGGACTACAATCCGTCCAGCTACGTTATATGGTAGTGAATGTTGGGCCATTAAGAGACAACATATATGTAAGAAGAGTGTGGTAGAAATGCGTATGTTAAGATGGATGAGTGGCCATAAAATAATGGATTGCATAAGGAATGAAGTTATTCATAGTAAAGTAGGTGTAGCACCAATAGAAGATAAGGTGCGCGAAAGCCGCTTAAGGTGGTACGGGCATGTTCAACGTAAACCGCTAGAAGCACCAATTCATGCTGGGGAGGACATTCTTATACCTAATACTAGGAGAGGGAGGGGAAGACCAGGAATTACGTGGACCGAAGTAGTTAGGAAAGACATTCTCGATCTAGGCTTTCAAGAAAGTCTAATTTCGAACAGAGATGCGTGAAAAAGTGAAATCCATATAGCCGATCCTAATTAAGTTAGGATTAAGACTTGTTGTTGTTGTTATTGTTTTTTTCCTTAAGAAAGGGGGATATGATTAGGATTCATTTCTTATTTTCTGTTATTATTTTTCAGCCTTATCTTTCTTATTTTAATTGGTGTTCTTTTTGGATTAGCATTCTTTTATTTATAGTTTTAGAGTTTGAATAGACTTAGGACTCTTGATTACATTCTATAAAAGCACCAGCACTATGTTGGAGTTTTTAGTTATGTTCTTATATTTTCAGATTTAATAAAGTTTACTTTCTTCACATTACTGTGCTGCCCACCTTTTTGCTGCGTCAAATATTTAATTGATGCTGGCAACTCTGTAAACAAGTAATAGAAAGATGACTTGTTATTGTATTAGTTTGTCTGTAAGTTGACATGTGGCAAACAAAGATACTAGCAACTAAAATAGAGTCTGGAATAGAGTTTGTATTTAGCATCTCATTATTCATTTTCCTTGACAATCTACAACAAAAGTAATATCGCTTGAAACATTGCTGGTGGGATTCCCTACAAAATATCTCATGAAGTACTCCCCGTCTCCATAGTATGAGCATACAACTTCGTATACTTTTATCAAGAGCGATGGGAATCGGCTTGTAAAATAGTCATCGAATTCTTCATATTTCGGTCCGACGAGTATCTGAAATAGTCACCATCAAACTAAGTGATTCTTATCCTTGATAAATTTAAAAATGTGTGTGAAAAAGTATCACACGATTCATATATTGCTATTACAATCACCTGAACATCTTGACCAAGCTCTCCATAATGACTCGACAAGTTTCGAATCAGTCGTAACAAGTCTCGAACACTGTTAAATTTGTAATCCCTTTTTGAGCACGCCCTCATGTACGTAACTATTTTTTCATCTACCTTCTTATTCCATTTTGTAGCTAAATTTGTGCGTACTGTACGTTCGAGTGCCTTAAAAAGATCAGAGTTCTCGCCTAATCTATCACTAGTGTCGCGCAGAAAAGAAAGTCTCTTCTCTGCATCCCAGAACATTGGATGTTGCAATATCTCACTTGCTTTTGGCCTGCCAAGAATAACACGCAAGTAATTTTCATCAAGAATTGAGCATTCAAGCTAGGGGCTAACTACCTTCTCAAATGTTTTACAATCCACTTAGTATCAACAAGGCATTGTGACAACTACATGATATTATTTAAGTCTGCTGAACAATTATAAATGTAATTGTCAATTAGTATCAAAGGGTATTGCTTACCATCTAAAAAATACACACATACACAAATGTGTATATCTACTCCAATGTTTTCAAAGGGTACATATCATATATATATATATATATATATATATATATATATATATAATATGTCATTAGTCGACTCCAATTAAGTTAGGATTAAGGCTTGTTGTTGTTGTTGTTGTTGTTGTTGTAGAGTAACATATGTCAAGTATTGATTATGCAGAACCCATATATTGAAGGAAATTATATAACTTCACCTCTTTGTAGGATCAGGTTCTAATAAACGAGAAATAAGATGGAAGGCTTCTGGAAAATCCTGTATCAAAAACAAGTCTTGCTTTTTGTCTCTCTTAATATTCCAATCTCGTTCATCATGATCCCCAAATGGATGCCTACCACGAGTGATGCAAAAAAATATGATGCAACCTAAGCTAAACATATCCGTTGCACTCGTATGTCTTCCATTAAGTAGCTGTTCAGCTGCTTTCCAGCTTGTAGTGGCGCAACCTAAAGTTGATTCCAAAAAACATGCATGAGACTAACATTAAAGGGAGAAAGAAGCACTTGAAATTAGGTTAAGAAAAATTATTTATGGGAGCATATTATGAACAAATGTTTATAATGAGACTTTTTGCAATGTGCAGCTGTTTGAGGATATATTTGTTAGTTTCTGATTGTAATTTGTTTCCTTTTATAGCCGGGATTTATTCATGATTTATGGGGATAGATATGTTGCTGATTTTTTGGAGATTTATTACCAGATTTCAACGTTTCACATTTTCCTTTCTTATTAACCAAATCTCTATAAGAGATGTTCCTTGTATAGCATGTACATCAATGAAAACAGTCCTAAAAGTTTTCCAGACTAAACCTTTTCTAGGGCCCAACAGGTATTAAAGTACAGGAGAACTATACCAACATCCTTTAAGTGTTTTTCTCAAATTATAGAGATACCCTTTGACCAAAACATTTTACGTCAACATCCCCTTACCCTAACTTTGTTAATATTTTATGTAAACTGATCAAAATATCCAAACAATCTTAGCTGTTAATCTACTTATTGCATTGATCTTAACCCTTGATTATGTCATTTTTTCACCAATAGAGTGCAAATTAAAATTGTGAGCGTCCAAAGACGACTTAATGCCAGTTCTATTGACTAAAATAGAGAAATGAGAGTACTAACCAAAAGAAGTAACACTTGAGTAAGTCTTGTTCTCAATTAGGAGGCGTTTGTGGATGCCCATGTCTGAAAGCTTTGCACATAAAGTAGATTTTCTCATAGTTATTAAAATGTTTCGGGGCTTTAAGTCTCGGTGGATTATACCCAATTTATGCAGATGAACAAGTCCAGAAACTATGTCTCTGTAAGATAATAAATTGAAAATAAAAGATTGTCATTAATTAGCAGTTAGCATGATAAATCTAACCCAAAGAGAATGATCCAAAAGATGATTCATTATAAGTTCAAGTAGACATAATTGTTCTCAGCTATGCATAACACGATATAAAAAATAAAAAAAATAAAAAAAAATAAAAAAAATAAAAAAAATAAAAATAAAAAAGAAATTTTCACTAACCTCAACAATTGAAGTAACAAAGGTGATGGACGGTCATTATTTTCTTTGCGAAGTTTAACATCTCCCAAAGTATTCTTTAGAAGCTCCCAGCGGTTTTCATACATAGTCATGGTGCTCGTACCACAATAAAGGTAGTTAGGATCAAGCTTGTATGGAGAGGAATTCAAAGAAGTTATTCGGATAAGGTCATCCAAACTAAAATCACAGAGCTCCAGAACAAGATATGTAAAATCTCTGTCATGTTCCACGCCATAATACCTTACAACATTTTGGTGATGATCAGATGCTATGAGATTCCCTATTTCATTGTCATCCAGTTTAATATGAGTTTTGAGAAGGCGTTTCACGGCGACTTTTCTACCTTCATAAGACCCCTCATACACTACAGTCCCATCGGTACCTCGACCGATTTCCTTTGATAATGAAACCACTAATTTTTTGCCAATCCGCAATTGGTTTTTATCAAATGAAGAAGCGATGCTTTCTTCTTCCTGCCGATTTAACATAAAAATTTCTCACATAAAAATACATAAGTAGAAAATTGATACTTGGACCCATATGAGTAATTTAAGTAATGGTTTGAGTAAAGTGGCCCTATAAAAAGTTAATGTCATGAGCATGTATATAGATTTTAATTTTAAATATTGAGCTTTAGCTCGTATAGTTTCTTCATTGTAATTCAGAATCGCAGATGAAGACTCCACGTCTACAAGTTGGCTGAGCTGCAGCCCGTTTGAAGAGCTTGCACATTGTCGTGATCGAAAAATTTGTCGAAGAAATTATTGTATAAGATAAAATTTCCTAAAATTCTATGTATTATAAATATGAATACTTTTATGATAAGTATTTGTTGATATTAATGTTGAATAACAAATTATAAACTAAAAAATTAGAAATTTTTGAATTATGATGCAATTTTTGAATTTCAGACTGCAATTAAGAAAGAGACACAGAACGCTGTGTTATTCCCACAAGTGGACAAACATATGAATATTAAGATTAAGAAATGAAAAGGAATTGAAAAACATAAATTTTAGGGTTTTATAAACAATCAGAACGAAGCAGAGATGAAAAAAGGGTTCGGAATACCGAACCGAGAAAATTAAGGTTTTTGATCGATTAGGGTTGACCAAGTCAAAATTTGTTGACCAAGAGTTGATCAACAGGTCACTCTTGAAAAGTTTGTCAAGGTTGAATAAAGTTAACCAAGTTCACCAACTATCTGAAAACGCAGATTAAACGCGCACCGGATAGGAATTAAACTGAACCGAAAATGGTTGAGATTTAAGATGATTAAATTGATGGAGGGCTAAGATTAGGACACATGGAAGGGAAGGATAATGGCTGGCCAACCTTAGGAAGAAGCAAAGTAGATTTTTTGATTTGTTTTATAAAAGTAATCTTAGAAAATGTCAAAATTCCACCCATATTCCAATCACTTTATGTCAAGACCGAGAAATTTATCAGAATTATTGTGTAGGATAATATTTCCTAGAATCCTTTGTATGATTAATATGAATACTTTTATGATAAGTAGATATAAACAGGGAATGAAGAGTTATAAGTTAAAAATCAAAAATTTCTAAACTACGATGTAGTTACAGATTTTTGAACTATGTTCAAGAAGAAGTATGGAACATTGTGTTAAACCCACAAGTGGGTAAACACATGAATATTAAGGTTAAGAAATGAAATAGAATTAAAAGACATCAATTCTAGGGTTTTAGAAACAATCGGAATGAAAAATGGACGAAAAAAGGGGTTCGGAAGGCCGAATCGCTTAAATTGGGGTTTCGACTGATTTAAGTGAACCGAGTCAAAATTTGTTGACCAAGAGTCGACCAAAACGTCGCCCTCAAAAAGTTAGTCAAGAATGGTCAAGGTTAACTAAGTTGACCAACTGTCTGAAAAACGCAGATAAAGCGCACACCAGACAAGAATTAAACGGAACAGAAATGAGATAATTATTATGAATGGATGGCTAGGATTTAAAGTAATTAAATTGATGAGTGGCTGAGATGAGGAAATGTGGAAAGCAAAAAAAAAAAAATGGGGCAGCCGGCCAACTTAGTGAGGAAGCAAGAGATATTTGTTGAAATTTTTGCAAAAAAAGTCTTCGGGAAAGTCAAATTTTGCATTGTTTGGTTTCTTGCTTTTGGATGGTCGGTTCAATGATGAACAAATACAAGTAAATGGTCACTTTTCACGTAGAAAAAAATGAGAGAACCCAGCCAAGAGAAAAAGAGAGGAAGAAAGATTTCCAAAGTGAGAAAAAGAGTGATTGAAGCAGAAATCGACGGAATTATCAAGGAATAGTGTCACTAAAGCTTGTTCCTCATTCCCTAAGGTGAGATTTCAAGTTTTTCCTCTTCCTTGACTGCCGTAAGTTTAGGGAAAGTATGGAAAAAAATTTACTAAAAATGGTGGTTTGCTTGTAATGGTTAAGGAACTTGAAATCTAGTGAACTAAGGATAAATTCTTGGCTATTGAACTTTTGTTTCTAGCAATTCTTGATATAGAGAATTTTGATAGAAATATGGAGAAACCCTAGACCCAAGATGATGTTGATGGTGTATTTGAAAGAGAAAGGATATGGTTTGTGTTTGAAGGTGAAAACAATGGATAAAGCGAGCTAAAGTTAGGTCGGGAAACATAGAGAAATAGGCGGAACTCTGCTGAAATTTGATTTGAGCATTTGAACTAAAATCGGATTTCAAGAGGAATAGGGGATTAAAGTGTGAAAAGTAAGTCAATTTGATAATCGGTGATGTATAGAAAATGAACACAATGAGAATTCACAGTTTTAGACCAAAATTGAAAATTAGGCCCATGACTGAGGAAGGTGCACGGTTTTAGTGCAAATTCTTGAGATAGAAAATATTTTGGCATTGAATACCAAACATAAGTATTGTAGATCTTTCTGAATTAAATTTTAATGTAACTATGGATCTTAGATTTTGAATCTAACGATCGAAAATTTATGCAATAGGATCGGTTAACAATCGAAGTCAGAAACATTAGTGAAACTTTTGTAAGTATTAGTTGTTTTCTTGTCTACAACGCGAATAAATTTATTTGTCTATGTTGCTCAATCCGAGCATATTGTAGACTAAATATATGCTAGAATGTGAAAGATGACTCATGAATGTTAGATACAATGTTATGCATGTATCTACAAGACTTAAGTAGCAGTAGAATTTTATTCTGTGAAAAAATATGTATCGGCGTCAAGTCAAAGTCAAGTTAAAAGAAAAAGTTAAACTTTAACGAAAAGTTAATCTCATGATAAATTGTTCAAAAATGAACAAAGTCATAAGACTTAACTAAAGTTACCGTTTCAATGAGAAAATTGATAAACGGTAAGAGACCAAACATCCTGTTTGTACCAGCCTTTGAAGGAAAGGTGATTATGAACTGAAAGAGACGAAACCGTGACTGAGCTGGATTGGTTAGCTACCCCACTCCTCACTAGTTATGAGTTAGATTAGATATATGACAATAATGCATATATGGGTATGCATAATTATTGAAGATGTGTGCAAACCTAAAACAACAAAAATTCTAAGTTTCGGACCAAAATTGAAAATTAGGTTAATGACCTGAAAACTTGTGCCCGAATCCGTTTAGGCTAGAGGACTAAGATAGAAGCTTAATTTTAAAAAGTGACCAACATCAAAGTTGTAGGAAATTTTGTTCCGAACAACTTTTGTGAAATAATTTGTTTCCCAAAAACGACCCTAGATGTCACTTTCGGGTTAATTTTCAAAACATGTCTAAAATTGTGAGTTTAGGCCAAATATGCACGGGTTTGGTGCACATTGGTGATATAGGAGATATTTCAGTCCAGATATCGAATATGAAAATCGTAGATCTTGTCAAAGATAAGAAGTCCCGTGAACAACGCTTTTTGAAAAACTAGCTATATAGTATTCTCTTAAGCTCAACTGTAAGTATGTGCAAAACATCCCAATAAGAAAAAAATAAAAAATCTGGGAAATAAAATAGATTTATGAAATAAACAGGAAACCTAAGAATTTTAGACACGACATGTACACATCATGAAAATAACATTTATGGAACAACAAATTCGAGTAAAATTGTATTTTAACTACTGGTCTTAGATTGTAAATCTAACGATCGAGAATTTATATGATAGGATTAGTAGGCGATCATGAAAGCAGTAAAGTTTCTGGTAACTCAAAAGTCGTGACCATAGCGGAACACCTGTAAGTACCAGCAGTTCTTTTGTCTAGACACGAATAATCTTATTTCTCAGTGTTGCACAAAATTGTGCATATCGTAAGTTCAATGTATGCAAATATGGGAAAGATGTTTTTTGAATATTATTTGTTGCGATGAATGTGTTTATGGACTTAAAGTAGTAGTAGTATAATTCTAATATGTGAGAAAGTCAAAAGTCAAAGTCAACAAAAAGTAAAAACTTTTAAATAAAGTCAAATTTCATAAGAAATTGATAGAAATGCTTAAAGACGCAATAATAAGATTAAAATTACTGTCATGATAAGAAAAGATCATAGTAACAAGATGTAATAAATAAAGATAATAAATGACAAAAAGTTAGTAAAACTGTTTGTACCGGCAATTGCAAGGGAGGTTATTATGAATGAAACCGTGAGTGAGTTGGTTTTGAGTCGCTCCCCCAGTCCTCATTCGTTATGAGCGCAACAGTACAACAAGAACGGGGCCCATAAGAAGTAAAAGTTATAAAAACGAACGACACAAGAACAAAAGTTGTAAAGAAGGCATAATACGATAAACGCTTTAAATTTTTAGAAAATGTGTTAGGATGTATGACATGAATGCATATATAGGTATAAATTATTGTTTGCACTTATTTTAGTCTGTTGTTACTTGCTAAGTGAAAGCTCATTATGTTTGTTCGTGTTGTAAGAAGCTCAGGTAAGACACCGGCTCCTTGAAACCTATAGCTGGGCGTGCAAAAGGATGAAGCGGTGGAGTGAGTGCATGCGGGTAATGGATGAACCACGTATTTTAAAAACGCTTCTAAGTGTTTAAAGTAAATAATATTTATGGATATAAATAAGCTATGTAATGAAAGTAAAGTATACAAGACAACGAGGCTATGCTTAGCAAACTCAAGTGACAGAGTATATTAACGTATCCAAAATGCTATTATGTTAATTGCATATGAACGATAATGGTATGCAAATAATAAGTTAAATGTATATGACCACGCCTAAAGAAAAAAAATTAAGTTTTAAAAGAATTTTATCTACGGATTATTTAATATTAAGAAGTTGAAAATGTTTTTAGAAAAATATTTTTAATATTCGAGTTTTACTATGAAATAATGATCGAAGTTTTATTCCGACAAAGTATATTAGTATTTATTTTACTATAAAAGTAAAAACAATGTAGCCTAAAATTAGGGTTTTATAGTTCAAAAATAGTAGAAGTTAAGATATGAGTTAAATATAAACGTAGTAGTAATGACCTGAAATAACGGTCGTCACACTCAAGCACAACCTTTTAAGTGTTTTCTTAATTAGTTGAAAACTTTTAGTCAGAATTTGATAACAATATCTTTTGTAACCTCTAGACAAGGTAAAACGACTCTTTTCAAATGTTTTTATTGTATATGGTTCAAACCTTGCCGTTTTGGAAATCTCCGAAGGATTTACGGATGAGATCATGCAATTTACTCATCTACTTCGATAGAGTTTATTTCTAAAGAAGCGGTTAAGTAATACTTTTTGTTTTGGCTAAAGTCATAGCATATTGGATGGAGGGCTTATTTAAGGTTGCAGTGTTACACTTTGATTTTGTGATGATTAGAAGAAAAAAAGATATAGATAAGAATGAATTAACATTTAAGATATGCTAATTCACTGAGTCGTATACTGAAAGCTGTTTATATATAATGAGAACTTACTCGTTCACGGGCTTCTAGAAAGTTCATCCAAGGCTTAAACTTCCGTGGAGTGGGATTTTCTTTCTGTGAAGTAGAAAGCAATAGGTATCAAACATCAATCGCTAATTAAAGAGAAAGAATACACATATGAACAAAAGCGTAAAGGTAACATGGACATTTATGCCTTTCAAAAAAAAATATGGACATTTATGGGAAATTATAGTAACATATATTAGTTGAGATGAACAAAAATAGGTGCAGCATACAGAAAGAATAAATTATGTACCAGACTGTTAACAGAGTCATCGGCAGCTCTGACGATATTCTTTTGGATCAAGGAAGAAGAAGAAGAAGAAAAAAGCATCAGTACTGGTTAAAAAGGAGAAAAAAATAATATAAGTAGTGATAATAAAAGAGTTGGAATATAAATTAAGCACATATTGAGGAAGTTAGTACCGTTTTATGGACTGAGTCCAAGAAATTATCTTCAACATCCGACATGCCCTGGGCCTAATTACTAATTACAAGCGTTAGATCGTTATAAGAGGAAATTAGAGAAAGATTTTATCCTGCTTTCAGCCTTGCCTCGGCGTTGTCACCCCCGTCACGCCAACAAAGCACATACCATGAGCGATGAGAATTAGATCTGAGATTAATCCTGCTTTCAACCGGAACTCGCCGGACTTTTTTTTTTTTTTTTTTTTGGCTGAATAGGGGGTTGGGGCTTAATTAGCGGCGTAGCCTGAACAATTTACTTATATAGCCAGAGAAAAGTCCTATTAGGTTAGGAGAAGGAACTTACCTAATTTATTTTTTTATTATTTTTTTATTATTTTAACAATATACTGTAAACTTTTTCAAAGTAACATAAGGCAATCAGACTTCAGATGCTTATCAAGTAATTCTGTCTGAAAACAAAAAAAAAAACAAAAAACAAAACAAAACAAAACAAAGAAAAGAAAAGAAAGAAAGAAAGAAAGAATTCAGACTCTCTTTCTCTTCTCCCCACCACCAACCGACCGAGTCTAGTCACCCTCTCTCCTTCAGATTTCAACCTTCTTTTCTGCTGGCTGCGACTCGCTTTCCACCTGTAACTGCAACAATGACGCAAACCATTATGGATGGTGAAGAGCTTCACTCGGAGGAGCAGAGAACTCCTGTGTCGTTGCCGCGCCACCATTTAGTAAATCACAAGAACTGGTAATTAAAAAATAAATAAAAAAAGTCGTTGATTTGAATTTGTCATAAGCTTGTGCTTGAAAATTTAATGATCACTCACCTGAAAAAAGAGGTTACTAGTTTTCATTGTAGTTACGTTTGTGTTAATTTTAATTAGTTGATTGAGAAGGCTGAAATCAATAATATGAACTTAATAAGTTGATTAACTTCTTAATTTGTCTCCCTATGTTGGAAAGGACTAATTGGGTTTTGAACTGAAAATGACCATATTTACGGATTTGCTCAACAGAACTAGAAGAAAAGCTAGGATAACAGAGGAGGAGGAGGAGGAGAAGAAGAAGAAAAAAGAAAAAAAAAATAGAGAGAAAGAGAGGAGTGACCTTGTGGAGAGTTGTAGATGGATCCCTTTTTGGCTGATGACAGTTGTACAAGGAAAAGTAACTACCATATAATATGCGAAGATTCCTCCTAACCGGTACATACTCTTTTGATGGAGACAAATCAGTATTCGACCACAAGAATATCAGCACCCGACCGGAAGAGCACGAATCTGACAAATTTGTGATTGTATAACACACGAAAATACGAAATGAAAAGACACAAAAATCATCGCCTAAACAGCAAATGGGAGTGGGTGGCCCCACCCATAATGGACCCACTACACGTGATGAGAAGTTTATTTGTTTCGCATGCATATCAACTGTTTTTCTTTTTGAGAAAACATTAAAAATACCACTTGATAAAAAATAGTGTTTATATGACTCTACTTAAAAATAAATAAGTGTCAGTCAATTAAAAAGAAAAATTATTATCACTAATGTCTATTAAATTTTAGAGTTATTTTCAGTTTATTTTATAAATTTTAAAAACTCTCATTTGTCTCTGGCCTTTGAATTTTTTCTACTTATATCATTCTATTACAATTTCTAGTAAAACCCCCTCTTTTTCATCCGATTTTAGCAGAAATTATAATAAAAGGGATTAAGTGAGAATAATTCAAAGTTCATGGGACAAAGTGAGAGCTTTTAAAATTTAAGAGACAAACTGAAAATGACCCTAAAATTCAAAAGCACTAGGTGAGAGTAATCTTATTAAGAACAAAATAAAAAATCACAATGACATATAACTATTTAGAGTGACATAAATAATAAAATTAAAAAATTAATGGTTAAACTTGAAAAAAAAAATGAAGTACAAAAGACTTGAAAAACAAAAGTTACTGATAATAAACAATATCTAGTTTACACACTAAAAAATATTGCCCACATTTATTTCACTAGTTTAGTTCAAGTGTTTAGTAAGTGAATCTTACTATTAGGCTCCATATTTAACCGGCTCCACATAGCACTAGTTCCACGTGGCAAAAAAGGACCCAAACAAAAGCTGTTGCAAGGTAGTACTTGTTGGGCCCATGGTAATTTTTTTTTAAAAGAAAAATTGTATTTTATTAAAATACTGATAAACAATTATCTTGGTACAATGTTAACCCATCAGAAGGACCTGATACCCGAAATTTGAAAAACACCTCAGCACACTAACAACGAGCATACCAAAAGCTCGATTGGAAAAAACCACTCTCTTCAACATAAGCTATCGAGTGCTGGAGGGTAGTTCGTCAAACCACAGAAGGGAGACATCTACACGGCATAGAAAGAAATTCTACCCGAGCTAAGACCACCCTATCAGCATTAAACTGAACACTTAAATCTAACAAAAAACTACGAACCAAACGAGGATCGGATGGGGAAACCACCAACCTTATTAGAAACTAAAAAGTTATAAAAAGAAAAAAACTTCCGACCACTGCCGGTAGAAACCTCCGATGAAGGGCGTCTGGTTAAAGGACCATCGAAGAAGATAGCCAGCAAAGAGATCTCAACCACCAAACAGAAAACTCCCCAAAGAAAGGAGAACATCCAATCAACTTCCAAGGTCCTAACCGGTTCGTATCTGCCCAAATGGAGCCACCACATCGTACACCACCAGCACCGACAAGAAGCTCATGAAGAGACGAGTCAGAGGACTAAATTTCATGGGCGGAAGCCCAGCGATGCACCCAAAGGTGGTGCCATAGTTCTTGTCCACCTCTGCTCTCTAAGGATCTTCTCACACTCTCTCTAACTCTGTAACACCTCAAAGAATTAAATGAGATTAATTAAGGTAATCAAGATATATTAGTATGCCTAATCTGGATTAATTAAATAATTAATGATTAATAAATGTTTCTAACGTGTAAATTTAAATATTTCTAAGGAATTTAAATGTTCTCAGTATTTATATTTTTACCCCAGAAGTGTGTGCAGACACATTTACTGGACAATCATTTTAAATATTCTGACACATGTTTTTCTTTTCTTTTCTTTTCCTTTTTCTTTTTCCTCTTTTCCTTTTTCCTTCCCATGCACCCTCTCTCTCTCTTCATTGTCGTTCTCACTCACTCACTCACTCTCTCTCTCTCTCTCTCTCTCTCTCTCTCTCTCTCTCTCTCTCTCTCTCGTTTGTTCCTTTCTCTCTCTTTCAAATTTTCACCAAATCAACTGGATTTCAAACCAAAGGAAGATTTCAAGAATTTTTCAACGTCAAGAGAAGGATTTGAGGTAAGATTTCTGGAAAACTTCTCTTAAATCTCAATTGTTTCAGATTTGAAAACCTATTTTGGTTCAAAATCAATTTTCATGGATTTTTCATGGATTTTGAGTAAAATCACGGTAGAAATTTGAGATTTTAGGTTCTTTGGACTGTATTTGTCATTTGCAACCTGGATTAGGTGATTTCCCTTTGAAATATCTCAGATTAAACTCAGATTTGTAGGTTTTTGGACTGATTTGGTGAGTTTTTTTGCATCCCTGTTCTCCACCGGTCGACCTATGCAGTTGACCAATTTGCACTCCATCAGGTCGACCTGTGCAGTCGACCAAAGTGCACACCACCGGTTGACCAGTAGTGTTGCACTGCTCTGTCACCGGTCGACCGGTGTACATGGGGTTTGACCCTGTTTTGTTTAAAAATCCTGTTTTGACCTCGATTTTTGAAGAGAACCCAAATTAGCTTCATTTAGGGACTTGAGATAGATGGATTAGCATCTTTAATCCATGTTTTGAAATTAAAACCCTTAGAAATGATTATTTGAAACATTGAGATGATCATTTATGAAATTTTAAATATGGTTAAGGCACACTAATAGGAAATTAAGGTGCATATTGAGATTGAATTTACTTTAGGAATGAGAATTGGATCCTAAAGTGTTGTTTTCTACGAATACTAGCTGAGGACTTGGATTGAAAGGCATCGAGAAAGTGGAAGCCAGAATAGGGCAACGCTAGCCACAGGTTTGGTATTGTGAGGTAGGATTTCTTATCCCTTTCCTTGTCAGCTTGATTTTAAAAGGATTTTAGCCTTGTAAATATTTTAAAGAAAGGGGCATGTTTGCGAAAGAAAAATAGTTTAACACCATAGCTTGTTGTAGTTATGGGGATTATAATGAACGATTTCATAAAGTTTAATGAATGATTTCTTAAGATAAGATAACTTGTGAATCGGTGAACCGGCTGATGGCCTAGACAGGATATGGAGAGTGTATCCTTGGGTGTAAAACCCGGCCCGGGGGTGATAAGGCTTATGCCTGTGGTTGTGTATGTAATTTATCATCGTATAAATTACTTGCCGATGCCTATAATACAGAGATTTTCAGTTATATTTTCTTTCAGAAAAAGGATGTGAGGTTCCGGCTATTGTGTTGGAGCTGAATGTCTTATCTATTTACTTATTCATTTATTTATTTACTCGCTTATTCATTTATTTATTTTTTTTATAAAGTTATTTCAAAATACATCCTACTCGGCTTTTCGCTCACGTTTTTATTGCTTTATAAATATTAAACCCCTCCCAGGCGACTCTAGGAGCAGTGTGGAGTAGCTGAGTTAGTGGCTACCGTGCATTGGGAAAAGAGGATTGTGATCACCATCCTTGTGATAATATGTAAGAATTGTAAATTCTGTAAACTCTGATGTTGAATTTCTAGACTGTGGTTGATGTCTGTAATATTATTTACATGTTCATGTATGTACAATACTATATGTCATGTAGGTGGAGCCCGTTAATGTTGTCAAAGGCTCAAGTTTTAGAACCTCTTCCTTGTAATATATTTCCAGCTAAATGTGGGGCTCGTTTGAGGAATTCTTTAATATTTTACCTTGAACTTGATTATTATGCGTTTAACTCCTAATCGAGCCTCCACGTCACCAAGCCCTGTTTGGGGGGGGGCGTGACAAACTCCCTCTCTAGAAAAACACGTACCTATAGAGGCATAAAATGTGGGCCCATGTAATTTAATTGAAACTTTTCCTTTTTCCACCTCAAGCGGAGCCGTGCTCTAGAGTTAAATTACGGCGCTGAATAGCTTTTTTGTTGGTAACCACGCAGTCTAATTTATATTTTCTTTTTAAATTGAGTTAAACTGCCTAATTTAGAGTTTAGCTCCCCCTAAGTTCAACAGCTCAAACCACTTTTGAACAGCACAAATCAACAAACTGAACAGAATAATTTAGGGAAAAAAATCTCTAACCACTATAATTTATTGTATCTATATGCTTGAAGAAAATGGACCACTTTTTGAGCTACTTTTTTCTTGAGTAAACAAGGAAGGACCTCTC